GTCTTGATCTCCTGACCTCGTGATCCGCCCGTCTCAGCCTCCCAAAGTGCTGGGATTACAGGCTTGAGCCACCGCGCCCGGCCAAGCCCACATTCTTACCTACCACGTGCTATCCCACCCTTCCCAGAGGGTGAGATTTCTAGTTCTAGCTCCCTCCACAGCCTGGCCCAGCCTGTATCCTCTGTAGTGCTCGACATGAGGCTGGACGGGCAGAATTGTTCTGCAAAATGGGCAGGATCACTGATGCTGAGTCAGAGGCAGCAGCCTCCAGCAATTTGAAGGGGTGGGGAACCTAGTTCCCCTGGCATGCAGGAGGTGCTCAGTAAACATTTGTGGACTGAATGAACAAATGAACAAACATGATTCAGTGGAGAGAGCTCACTAGAAATGTGGGTGAATGTTCTTTCTGCCACTTCCTTTCTCCAGGAAAGAGGAAATAAATGCATTACCTCCACAAAGGTCGGGATTAAATATTGAATGACCGCTTAAGTCCCTTCTAGGCTAAGGATCTAGAATTTATTCACTGATTTTTTTTTCATTCATTCATCCAGCCATCTAACAAAATATATATATAGTTATAAATAAATATAACACCCGGCCCTATTCAATAAATATTGACTATGCATGGTGCTAGGTGGTGGGTTTGACATGGCAAAGGCTAGGTGCAGTGGCTCACACCTGTAATCCCAACATTTTCGGAGGCCGAGGCAGGCAGATTACTTGAGGTCAGAAGTTTGAGACCAGCCTGGCCAGCACGGTGAAACCCTGTCTCCACTAAAATACAAAAATTAGCTGGGTGTGGTATGTGCTTGTAATCCCAGCTACTCGGGAGGCTGAGGCAGGAGAATCACTTGAATCCGGGAGGCAGAGGTTGCAATGAGCTGAGATCACACCACTGCACTCCAGCCTGGGAGTCAGAGGGAGACTCAGTCCCAAAAAATAAAATAAAATAAAGTAAGATAAAATAAAAATGGCAAATAAGACATATGCCTGCCCCTGCAGAACTCACCTTTGGATGGCACAACAATTACATCCTGTGTGGTCAGCAGTGATGGAGAGGCCACAGAGATTTGGAAACAGGAAGGACACAGGATGCAGACATAGGAGGGTAGAAGGGAGACTTCCTGGAGGAGATGAAACCTAACCTGAGTCCCTAAGGTGATAGGAAGCAGGAACCAGGGAAGGGGAGCCTATTCTAACACAGTAGAGGCAGCAAGGGCTGAGGTCTGGATGAGGGGACCTCAACTGTGGCCCAAAACCCCAAGTTCCCATTGTGGCTCTGCCAACAACTGGCTGTGCCACCCAGGACAAGCCCTATCCTTGCACTGTGTCTGGGTTTCCCCATGTGTAAGATGAGGCAGTTGCTAGGTGCTTATTGGATGCATTCCTCAAGTCCCGCCCTCCATCTCCTATTCCCCACTCTTCTGGTTTAGTGCCTTAGGAAATGTGGCAGACATCTTTTTCTGCCTGTGTCTAGGAAATTACAATTCATGCTGGTGTACCCTGGTTGTTGAGGTCCCTGAATCCTTGTGCCCACACTGCTGAAGACTCCTTGTGTGACACAAGTCAGGGGACATCTGGGTCTTGACTCCCCAGATGCTCCAGCTGGACCCTACTGCCCTCCCTTGCCCACCTTCTTCCATTGTAGATGCCAAAGGGCTGAGCGATCCAGGGAAGATCAAGCGGCTGCGTTCCCAGGTGCAGGTGAGCTTGGAAGACTACATCAATGACCGCCAGTATGACTCGCGCGGCCGCTTTGGAGAGCTGCTGCTGCTGCTGCCTACCCTGCAGAGCATCACCTGGCAGATGATCGAGCAGATCCAGTTCATCAAGCTCTTCGGCATGGCCAAGATCGACAACCTGCTGCAGGAGATGCTGCTGGGAGGTCCGTGCCAGGCCCAGGAGGGGCGGGGTTGGAGGGGGGACTCTCCAGGAGACAGCCTCACACAGACCTGAGCTCACCCCTCAGCTCCTTGGCTTCCCCACTGTGCAGCTTTGGGCAAGTTGCTTAAGCTGTCTGTGCCTCAGTTTCCTCACCAGAAAAATGGGAACAAAGGCAATGGTCTATTTGTTTAGGCGCCGAGAGTCTAGCACATGCCAGTCACTGTTCTAAGTGCTGGCAATTCAGTGAAGAACAAGATCTTTGCCCTCCGGGAGGCTGTGTGTGTGTGAGTGTGTATGGATGCGTAGATATCTGTGTATATGCCCGTATGTGCGTGCATGTGTGTATAAAGGCTCACATTTTATGATTTTGAAATAAACAGGTAATATGATAGAGTTTAACTGAAAAGGAATCCTCTTTAGATAGGGGAGGCCAAAGGAGACCTCTCTGAAATGGTGACTCTTGTGCTAAGACCCTAATGGCTGAAAGGAAATGCAAGGCTTAAAAGACAAGAGAGCAGTGGCTCACGCCTGTAATCCCAGCACTTTGGGAGGCCAAGGAGGGCAGATCACGAGGTCAGGAGATCGAGACCATCCTGGCTAACACAGTGAAACCCTGTCTCTACTAAAAATACAAAAAATCGGCTGGGTGTGGTGGCGGGCGCCTGTGGTCCCAGCTACTCGGGAGGCTGAGGCAGGAGAATGGCGTGAACCTGGGAGGTGGAGTTTGCAGTGAGCCGAGATCATGCCACTGCACTCCAGCCTGGGCAACACAGTGAGACTCCATCAAAAAAAAAAAAAAAAAAAGACAAGAGAGGAATATTCCAAGAAGAAGGAACTACTTCAAGGGCCCCGGAGAGGAGAGAGTTTTGTGTTTGAGAAAGAAGGGCAAGGTTGTGAGATGGAGGAGATGGAGGAGGTGAAGATGGAGATTGGGCAGAAACCAAATCATAAACATATGGCTTTGTAAACCTTGTCAGAAATTTGGATTTTATTCTCATTGCAACTATTGTAAGGAGAGTGAAAACCAGACTAATTATTTTTATTCTTTGAGACAAAATTTCCCTCTATCATCCAGGCTGGAGTGCAGTGGCAGGATCTCGGCTCACTGCAACCTCCACCTCCCAAGTTCAAGCAATTCTCCTGTGCAGCCTCCCAAGTAGCTGGGATTACAGGCACCCGCCACTACGCCCGGCTCATTTTTTTATATTTTTAGCAGAGATGGGGTTTCACCCTATCGGCCAAGATGGTCTCAAACTCCTGACCTCAAGTGATTGCCCACCTCGGTCTCCCAAAGTGCTAGAATGACAGGTGTGAGCCACCATGCCCAGCCCAGACTAATGCTTTAAACAAACCACTCTGACTGTTGGGTACAAAGTAAATTGCAGAGATTCCTGAGAATGTCACTGTCTCCAATCATGTGACAGATGATGAAGGCTTGGACCATGGAAATGGAGCAGTGAAGATAAACCGGATCATCTATTTGGAGGAAGAGCCCACACCTACAGGATTTGCTGACTGATTAGATGTAGGGAGTGACAGGAAGAGGAAGAGTCAAGGACAGAGTCTAAATTTTTGCTTTGAATAGCAGAAATGATGATGGAGTAGTTTACCGAGATGAGGAGGACAGAATAAACAACTTGATGCTGCGGTCTGGGGGTGGTCGTGAGGGGTGACCTCAGAGATCCGTTGTGGACTCTCTTTTTTTCCTTTTTCCTTTTTTTTTTTAAGACGAGATCTCTCTCTGTCACCCAGGCTGGAGTGCAGTGGCGCAGTCATAGCTCACTGCAGCCTCAACCTTCCAGGCTCAAGAGATCCTCCAGTCTTCCGAATAGCTGGGACTACAGGTGTGTGCCACCATACCTGGATAATTTTTCATTTTTATTTTTTATAGAGACGACGTCTCACTATGTTGCCCAGGCTGGTCTTGAACTCCTGGTCTTAAGCAATCCTTCCGACTTGGCCTCTCAAAGTGCTGGGATTACAGGTGTGAGCCACCATGCCCAGCCTCATTGTGGACTTTCATTAAGCATGAGGTGTCTATTACAAATCCAAGTTACCAAGGAGGCAGTTGAATGTATGAGTCTGCTGCTCAAGCACAAGATTAAAGGCAGCTCTGTGGAATCGGGGGAAGATGGAGCCATGGAGGGAAGGGAAGAAGACTGGCCGGAGGGGTAGGAGAAAACCAGGGCAATTCCAGAATCCAAGAGAAGAGCGTGTTTGAAGGACAGAGTGTTTAATGGTGTTACACTCTGCAGAGAGACAGAAAGAAGGAGGGAGGAATGGAGAGGTGAAGGGAGGCGGGGAAGAGAGAGGAAAGAGTCCATTGGATTGGCAGCTGGAGGCTCTTGGCAATTGTGTTGAAAGCAGTTTCAGAGAGCTGGGAGAGTGGAAACCAGATTGGAGAGTGCTCCAAAGAGAGTGAATGGGAAGGTGGAGATAGAGTAGATAACCCTTTGAAATGGTTTGACTGTGAAGGGGAGTATGAAGGAGTTAGGATGACTGCAAGGGAGTGATTAGAATGATATGTCATGGAGTCTGGGCTGCACTCAAAGAGAAATAAAGATGGAGGCTGGGCTCGGTGGCTCACACCTGTAATCCTAGCACCTTGGGAGGCCGAGGCGGGTGGATCACTTGAGGCTAGGAGCTCAAGACCAACCTGGCCAACACAGCAAAACACCATCTCTACTAAAAATACAAAAAAAAATTAGCCAGACGTGGTGGCATGCGCCTGTAATCCCAGCTACTCGGGAGACTGAGGCAGGACAATCGCTTGAACCCGGGAGACGGAGGTTGCAGTGAGCCGAGATCGTGACATTGCACCCCAGCGTGTGTGACAGAGCAAGATTCTGTCTCAACAACAACAACAAAAGGATGGGGTGATAGTGAAAAGAGAGTGTCGGTGAATTGACAGCCTCAGTAGGCTGAAGAAGTTTTGCAGTGATGGTACTAGATTAAGGGAGCTGGAAGGACACAAGGTGAAGTCAAAGTAGGGATGTTGAATTCGAGATTTTGGAGGTGCTGCAGTGAGGGCGAGGTTTCTCAACACTGGTACTATTGATACTTGGAACTGGACGATTCTTTGTTGTGCGGGGCTGTCCTGTGCGTTGTTTGGCTGCATCTCTGTCCTGTACCCATAAGGTGCCAGTAGCACTTCTCCAGTGGTGACAACCAAAAATGTCTTCAGATATAGTCAAATGTCTCCTGATGGGCCAAAATCATCCCCAGTTGGGAACCACTGTTGTGTGATAGCTCATTTCATTCTCACTTTGACCCTGTGAACATGGGGTTATTATGAATCAGGTGTCACTAAGATCAGGATCAGGAGCCTGTGGTCTGTTGCCAAATAGTTAAGAGCTCTGGGCTTAGTTGTCTCATCTGTAGAATGGGCTAATAATAGTATCTGTTCTATAGGATTGTTGTAAGGTTTCAATTATGTAAAACATGAAAAGTGCTATACAATAGTACCTGGCACATGATAATTGTTAATTATCAACAGTCGTTATTTATCACTGAGATCGATGTGCTGTAGAGATCTCTTGCAAGCATTGAAATTCCATCATTGTCATATTACTCACCATAGGCTATTATTAAACCATACCCCATGTGGTATTTTTACTCTCTGACACATGTTTAAAGCGGTTACTGTGTTCCAGACAATCTGCTAGGCTCTCAAAGAAAGAAGAAAAATACATCTGAAATTGTAATGCTCATAGACAGAAGAAGTAGTTGTTCCTAAAAGTTGTGTTACAGATAAATTACTATGAGAAATCCAAGGAATGAGAATGAGGAGAATCAGGAGAGGCTTCTAAAGAGAGGAAATATATGAGCTGGGATTTGGGCTTATGGACGTGGAGCGGGTTTGGGGTGGAAAAAACATCTCTGACGGAAGCAACAACGTGAGCAGAAGCATAGAGATAGGAAAACACAGGGGACACATAGATGCTATAAGTAGGTCAGCTGGCTGCAGCAGAGATGTGGGGGATGAGGCTGGAAGGTGAGGCGGGACCAAATGGTTGAAGGACTTGCATGCCAAGGAGCCTTGAGAGCCATTGATTACATCCAATACGCTACTCATTAGAACATTTACTTGATCTCAGCGCTTCCTTATAGGCACCTTGTTTCTTTCAACTCACTTTTGTTCTCTTGGTCTTTTGGGGCCTTCTTAACACCCTCATGAAGCCTATGAATGGGAATGGTACACCCTAGTTTACTAACCCAGGAATAGGTCCCCAACAGGCATTGCCAATATTGGATGGGCAGGTTGATTGGTCACACCTGAGGAAGATGGCGTCCCAAGGCCTGAGGTCTGCATCCCAGACTCTTCATCTTGATCGATCTTCTCTTCCTGCAGGGTCCTCCAGCGATGCACCCCATGCCCACCACCCCCTGCACCCTCACCTGATGCAGGAACACATGGGAACCAATGTCATCGTTGCCAACACAATGCCCACTCACCTCAGCAATGGACAGATGTGTGAGTGGCCCCGACCCAGGGGGCAGGCAGGTGGGCAACCTCTGGGGCTCTACCTTGCAAAGGGTGAGGATGGGGCTTAAGAGAGGAAGCAGGAGAAGGTGGAGTCTAGAAGGTAGAACCAGGATGCAACAATTTTCTGGGTTCCAGGGTAGGGAATAAAGGGCAAGGTTGTCCATTTGTTGAGGCTGTTTATTCAGTAAGGTGACTGACAACCTTTACTGAATGAAGCCATTGTTGGGATGAGGCAATCCACTGGATGAAGTAACCTATTGGGTGAAGATGTTCTTGGGTGAGAATCCCATTAGTTGACATTGTCCATTAGGTAAAAGTGATCATTGACGTAAGGCTGCTCAATTGGGTAAGGCTATCCATTAGACAATTAGATGAGACTATCCATTGGGTCAGGATGTCTGCTGGACTAGATCATCCTCTGAAACCTCCAAAGTGTAAACTTGTCATTGGGCAAGGCTCTTCAAAGAATAAGATTATCAATGGGATGAAGTGATCCACTGAGATAAGATGATATTTTACTGACATTGTTCTTGGAGAAAGTTGTCCATTGAACAAAGTTTGCCAATTGGGTCAAATTTGCTCTCCAAACCTGCCATGAGAGTGAGGCCAGTTTCTATTACTCATCTCCTAAATATCCAAGAAGTGGTATTTTTTGAGCCAGTTGGCCCTGGGTCTCATCAGCTGCTGGCTCCTTCTCCCAGGAAAGAATATCCCTGTCACCCATCCCATTGCCGTTGGTGACAGCCAGGCCTGGGCCTTGGTTTCAGAGAAGCAGTTCAAGTCTGCATATCAAATAAATGATGGAGGAGATGGGTGGTGGGACCTTCCAGACCTCATAAAACTTAGGCTTTATGATCTGGGACTCACAGAAGGTTGAGTCATAAAAGACCTTGGGGATTATCTGGTTTAATTAATTCTCTCATTTTATAGAGGAAGAAATTAAGTCAAGGCGGGGTGAGCTGGGGGTTGGGGGGAGAACTTTCCCAGGGCTCTTCATTTACTCCCACAAAGGCTGGAATTTTGAGCAGCCCCTATCTGTCTGTTTGTCCTTCCAGCCACCCCTGAGACCCCACAGCCCTCACCGCCAGGTGGCTCAGGGTCTGAGCCCTACAAGCTCCTGCCAGGAGCCGTCGCCACAATCGTCAAGCCCCTCTCTGCCATCCCCCAGCCGACCATCACCAAGCAGGAAGTTATCTAGCAAGCCGCTGGGGCTTGGGGGCTCCGCTGGCTCCCCCCAGCCCCCTCAGAGAACGCCTGGTGATCACGTGGTCACGGCAAAGGAAGACGTGACGCCAGGACCAGTCCCAGAGCAGGAATGGGAAGGATAAAGGGCCCGAGAACATGGCCTAAGGGCTACATCCCACTGCCACCCTTGACACTCTGCTCTGGATAACGAGACTTTGACTTGGGAAGACGCCACTGGAAAGTCCTCTACTGCCTTGGACGACTTTTCTCATGTTGAAGCCACTGCCTTCACCTTCACCTTCATCCATTCGCTCCTCCTTCTGCTGCTGCCCCCACCTCAAACGCCCGTTTCCCTCTGCTGTCGCCTTGCTCAGCCATCCCGTCTTCTCCAGCACCACCTCTCCAGAAGCCAAGGAGGCCTTGGAAATGATTCCCCCAGTCATTCTGGGAGCATGTTGTAAGCACTGACTGGGGCCAGGCAGGGTCTAGAAGGCTGTGGTGAGGGAAGACACCTTTCTCCTCCAGCCCCACCGCACCCTCCTTCTTCAGGGACTTGGGTGGGTATTTGGGGTGAGGATTTCTGCAGACCTTCAACCCGAGAAAACAAGCCCAGGTTGGCAACTGCAACAGGAACTTGGAGTGGAGAGGAAAAGCATCAGAAGGAGGCAGACCATCCACTAGGCCTTTGAGAAAGGGTAGACTTCTGGCTGGTAAAGCGGGTGAGACGGGACATTCCAAAGAACAGCCTGAGCCAAGGCCTCGTGGTAGGAAAAATCTAGCAAGAATTGAGGAAGAATGGTGTGGGAGAGGGATGATGAAGAGAGAGAAGGCCTGCTGGAGAGCATAGGGTCTGGAATACCAGGCTGAGGCCCTGATCAGCGGCAAGGGGTATGCGGGGAGCTGGGCTTCCAGAAAATAAACACAGCAGTTCTGTAGAGGATGGGAGGCTGGGAGCTGGGAGGTCAGGTGGGGTGGATGATGTAATGCGGGTGAGAGTAATGAGGCTTGGGGCTGGAGAGGACAAGATGGGTAAACTCACATCAGAGTGACATCCAGGAGGAATGATCTCCCAGGGCCTGTCTCAAGCTCTTCCTTACTCCCAGGCACTGTCTTAAGGCATCTGATATGCATCATCTCATTTAATCCTCCCTTCCTCCCTATTAACCTAGAGATTGTTTTTGTTTTTTATTCTCCTCCTCCCTCCCCACACTTACCCGCCCCTCCTAACCTAGAGATTGTTACAGAAGATGAAATTGCGTTCTAAGAGGTGAAGTGATTTTTTTTTCTGAAACTCACACAACTAGGAAGTGGCTGAGTCAGGACTTGAACCCAGGTCTCCCTGGATCAGAACAGGAGCTCTTAACGAGAGTGGCTGAATAACTTCTCCAAAGGCTCCCTTTGTTCTCACTGTGATCAAGTTAGGGGGCTTCTGGCTCCCTTCTCCAGCCTCAGAAACTGGACTCGTTCTTCTGGGAACTCTGCCCACTCCCAGGACCAAGACTGGCCTGAGGCTGCACTAAAATTCACTTAGGGTCGAGTATCCTGTTTGCTGATAAATATTTAGGAGAATTCATAACTCTTGAGAGCTTTTCTCTCTTCACTCCCCAAGTCTAGGGGAGGGGTGGCAGGGGTCTGTTTCCTGGGAGTCAGGCTCATCTGGCCTGTTGGCATGGGGGTGGGACAGTGTGTGCAGTGTGGGGGCACGGGAGGGCTAAGCAGGCCCGGGTTTGAGGCCTATTCTGGAGATCGTCACTCCAGGTGTATTCTGGAAACATTGGACCCTAGGATGGAGCGTCCACCATGTCATCCATGTGGAATCTTGGTGGCTTTGGGGACATTCTGGAAAATGCCACTGACCAGTGTGAACAAAAGGGATGTGTCCTGGGGCTGGAGGTGTGATTAGGTAGGAGGGAAACTGTTGGACCGACTCCTGCCCCCCGCTCAACACTGACCCCTCTGAGTGGATGGAGGCAGTGCCCCAGTGCCCAGAAATCCCACCATTAGTGATTGTTTTTTATGAGAAAGAGGCATGGAGAAGTATTGGGGCAAGTGTCAGAGAGGAATCACCGCATCCCTACAGCAGTCCCAGCCAAACCCCCCAGTCCCAGGAGAGACTGCGCCCTGCTCAAAGCTCCCTAGCCTTCCTCCACCACCTCATTCAAGTGCCCCTGAAATCCCCTCCAGACAGCTCAGCCTGGTCTGCGGTAAGGCAGGGAGGCTGGAACCATTTCCGGGCATTGTGGTCATTCCCACTCTGTTCCTCCACCTCCTCCCTCCAGCGTTGCTCAGGCCTCTGTCATGGGAGCAAGGTTGAGATAAGAATGTCCCATGGCGTGCAGAGGGCAACAGTGGCCCTTCATGGGAACAATCTTTTGGAGCAGGCGGTCAGTTCTCTGCTGGGAATCTACCCCTTTCTGGAGAAGAAACCCATTCCACTTTAGTAACTTTATTGTAATGTGAGAAACACAAAACAAAGTTTACTTTTTTGACTCTAAGCTGACATATTAGAAAATCTCTCTCTCTCTCTCTTTTTTTTTTTTTTTTTGGCCACTTGTGTTGTGGTCCTAAAACATAAAATCTGATGGACTAACAGAGGGTTGCTGGGGGGACAAGCGTGGGCACAACGGTTCCCCCACCAAGACACCCCGATCTTCAGGCAGCTCTCAGCAGCTTCTAAAATCTGCATGGCTCTCCTGAGAGCCGACAGAGGAGACAGAGGGTCGGAAATGAACGCTCTTCTATTGTTTGTCGTTACCAAGCCAATTACATTTGCCAAATTTTTCTGTGATCTGCCCTGATTAAGATGAATTGTGAAATTTACATCAAGCAATTACCAAAGTGGGCTGGGTCCCATCAGAACGACTCACATCTTTCTGTGGGTGTGAATGTCATTAGGTCCTGCGCTGACCCCTGAGCTCCCATCACGGCCGCCTGATGGGGCAAAGAAACGAAAAACATTTCATACTCTTGTGTGTTTTAACAAAAGTTTATAAAATAAAATAAATGGCGCGTATGTTTTCTAAGTCCTCGGATGAGTCTATTTTCTTTCAGGTGTCAGAAATAAGACTGAATCTTCTGGTTCTACTTAGGGACTAAAAAAAATTTTTTTTAAGGAAGAATGAGAATAGTTTTATAGTTCTTTGTGATGTGCAGAATGTTTTTGTATCCATTATAATTTCTGAGTCTTCACATCACGAGGTAAGCAGTTAGACATGATTACTCCCGCTTTCCAGATGAGGAGACTGAGACTTGGGGAAGTGATTTCTCTTGGGTGGCAGAGGTGGACATCTAACCCTGGTCTCTTGATTCCAAGTACTTAGTATATGGAGAGAGTGAAAGTTGATCCCCCCTCTTGAAGAGGGGAGTGATGAGGGAGAGTGTAATGAAAAGATCTGGAAGAATGGCAAGCGGGTCCAAGGGTCTGTCATCCTCCACCAAGGTCCAAGACAGATCCCTTTTCTGGGTCACCTCAATCTGCCAGCAATGGGAGATGAGTAGCTGTGGGGACATTCCATAAAAGCAGGTGGTTTTTTTGTTTTGTTTTGTTTTTTGCTTTTTTCTAGAACAAGGCTGTGCACAGTGGCTCATATCTGTAATCCCAGCACTTTGGGAGGCTGAGGCAGGAGGATCACTTGAGCCTCAGGAGTTCGAGACCAGCCAGAGCAATATAAGGAGACCCCATCTCTACAAAAAAATTTAAAAATTAGCCAGATGTGGTAGTGTGTGCCTATAGTACCAGCTACTCTGAAGGCTGAGGAGGGAGGATTGCTTCAGCCCACGAGTTCGAGGATGCAGTGAGCTATGAATGCAACACTGCACTACGGTCTGGGTGAAAGAGCAAGACCCTGTTTCAAAACATAAATAATAAGTAGAAAGAATAAAAGCAAGGGATGTGCTTGAGAATCTCCAGCCAGATCTGTAGGCACTGGGGTTCTCTCCATGGCTAAACTATTATAGGAGGGCGGCCTTGTGTCTCGGCCACCACAGACCACAGCGTTCCATTCACTCGGGGTTGTGCTGGAGCTGGCTTGTGAGAACTGACTATTAGCTTCTCTTCCCAATTCCGTGTTTGCCAGTGCCACACTGATAGCTTGAGATTGGTTATTGCTGGAGTGTTTACACCACAAGGACTAGCAAACTCTACAAATCAGGGCTTTTGTTCCTGGAGAGCCCGTTGTTAACATTCACCAGCACACCACAGCATTCGGTGATGGCTGGACCGTGGGATGCCAACATATGGGGACATCCTCACTGGGGATGAGGGTAGAGCAGCGTGATCCTTTCAGCTCTTCCTTAATGGAGGGGACAAAAGTTCTGGTCTGGGAAGCACACGTCTTACTGATCAGTGTAACCTTGGGCAGGTCACTCCACCACTCCGAGCCTCATCTGTAAAGTGGGAATGAGATCTTCCTCCAGGGAAGATGTCAGGATTGAATGGAATGAGAGCACAGTAACTGTGAGAGCTCCCGTTACATGAAGAGTACAAGTGAACTCTTCATGCGCCCCTTTCTAGCGAGAGGTTAACCATTAAACTCTCCAGCCTTCAGAGCACCCATTCGCTGTCTACCTGATCCCCAGGGCCGCTCCCGCCTTCCCCTCCGCCTTCCCTCCACTAGTCAGCACCAGGAAATGTTTTCAACAGCGTTGCAACGGAGGCCTTGTTCATGCTGCTGCCATCGGGGACACGAGGGGGTGGGGACCAGCGGAGACTATTTCAGTCTAAATTGTGCTTAATAAACCCATATCAAAACCATAAACCCTGGGCTGCCATAAATTCCTCTACCCTTGGTTCCTCCACCTCATCAGCCCTTTGCCCTGGTTAATCTCAAATCTCAGCACAGGCAGCCAGAGCTTCAGGTTTGGTTTCTATTTCAGTTGCTAAACAGCATCAGCTCAGGTAGCAGACAGTCAAATTCCCATTTTATAGATGATGAAACTGAGGTTCAGAAAGGTGAAGAAACCTGTCCAAGGTCACACAGCTAGAGACCCCAGCCAAGACCTGAGCCCATGCTTCCACCATCCAGGTAGCCTGATTAAGAGATGGGAATTATTGGCTGAGCCTGGTGGCTCACACCTGTAATCCCACCACTTTGGGAGGCCAAGGTGGGCAGATCACCTGAGATTAGGAGTTCAAGACCAGCCTGGCCAACATGGTGAAATCCCATCTCTACTAAAAATACAAAAATTAGCCGGGCATCCCAGCTACTCGGGAGGCTGAGCCAGGAGAGTTGCTTGAACCCAAGAGACAGAGGTTGCAGTGAGCTGAGATCATGCCGCTGCACTCCAGCCTGGGTGACAGAGCGAGACT